AGCCCCAATAGCCCCCCCCCCTGAATACACCTCTGACGTCAGACCCTTTAATGTTATTTGTTACAGGTGAAGTGCAGAGATTTGTTTGGAAAGGGATAATTCAACCATTCTCAGATCTGCTGTTAAAACCAGCAATAGGTAATGTAAATATAAGGGATAAGTAGGAGCCGCCATTTTGTTTTATCTGCAGCAAACTTTTGTGATGTAATCTTAGGATAAACCATTGATCTATATCCTGTGTTGATCGTACCATACAAGGGATCAATTGTAGTAATATTTAAAGTTAAAAGTACTCACATCACATAAATTTATCCTGCTTAGCAAATTTTCATCAATTTTTAAGACAGGGTCTGCTTTGAAGTGTCGCAACGCCTTGGCCTTTGATTTTACAGCTCTAACTCACTTTTGCTTTTCTGTAGAAAAGTCGTTTTAATTTTATCAATATCAACGTAAACCACTGTGCTAAATTTGCAATTTTTGAGAAGAAACAAAAAAAATATTCTTTAATTTTCTATTTTGTAATGCAGGACAAAGTTTTTAAATAAAAACAATTAAAAATAAAAATAAAATCTATTTTAGCCGGATTTCTGAATTATCTGCTCTCTCCTTTATTCTCTCTTCTCTTCATTATATCCCGCAACTGTGCAATAGTGCTTTCTCCATTTTCCAGGTATAATTCTCCATTCTCCAGGTACATTTCTACATTCTCCAGGTATACTTCTCCATTCTCCATGTACATTTCTCCGTTCTCCAGGTATAATTCTCCATTCTCCAAGTACATTTCTTCATTCTCCAGGTATATTTATCCATTATCCTGGTATATTTCTCCATTCTCCAGGTACATTTCTTTCTCGATTCTCCAGGCATTTTCTCCATTCTCAGGGTACATTCCATTCTCCAGGTATAATTCTTTATTCTCCAGGTATACTTCTCCATTCTCCAGGTACATTTCTCCGTTCTCCAGGTATACTTCTCCATTCTCCGTAACATTTCTCGATTCTTCAGGTAGATTCCTTCATTCTTCATTCTCCAAGTACATTTCTCCATTCTTCAGTAAAATTTCTCCATTCTTAAGTTACAGTTCTCCATTCTCCTGTAACATTTCTCCATTCTCCAGGTATATTTCTCCATTCTTCAGGTAAATTTCTCCATTCTCCAGTAACAGTTCTAAATTTTTAAGGTATATTTCTCCAATCTTCATTATACAGGTACATTTCTCCATTCTCCAGTAACATTTATCAATTCTTCAGGTACATTTCTCCATTCTCCAGGTACACTTCTCCATTCTCCAGGTACATTTCTTCATTTATCAGGTACATTTTTCCATTCTTTGGGTTCACTTTTTTCTTCATTCTCTAGGTACATTTCTTCATTTTTCATGTACATTTCTCCATTCTCCAGGTACATTTTTCCATTCTCCAGGTATATTTCTCCCTCCTCCAGTTACATATCTTTCTCCATTCTTCATTATACTACTTAAACAGACTGTGTGAAGTCATAAAGTCATGTACTAACTGCTACATATAGTTTATCTAGTTGTATCTCTGCATAATCTATGAATAACATGTTTGTTTAGGCTTTGTAACTGCGGTAAAACAGAACCCTGGAGATATACTGAACTTAACCAACATATTGTTTAGTTTTAACAAATTGCAATAATAGTAATTCCCTTAAAGACGACATTTCAAAAATACTTGACTTAAACATTGTTGTTATAAAATCGTGTTTTGATTTTTTGACCCAACGAGGGAGGGACACCTTAGCCGCATTGAGCCCCCAGAATTACAATACAGTTTTGAGCCAGTGAAAAAGTCCTAACTCATTTTTTTTTCTCAACACATCTGTTTTGCAGAGGCTTCGAACTGTATGGCAAGTCCGGGAGGTTTATGGCAAACAATGCATGTTATAGATGCAAAACTATTTATAATTATGTGATTTTTATTTATAAACCTGATAATTGTGATATTTGTAAAATGTTGATAAATAAAAGAAAAAGAAAAAGTTAGCAACTCAATTTAATAAAGGGGCTATAGTCGTAGTTTTAATGACACTTTATTAACATAATGACATAATGCAACCCTTAAAAAGCTAAATTTTGTAAAAGTTTTATGTTACTGTTGTAAATTGGAACTGTCCCTCTTAAACTGAAAGTTCAGTTGAAATTAAAATCACAGCCCCTTTTTAATAAATAAATCATTATTCAGTTTGTTCTGTATACAAATGATTCATTACTCTTTTAAAAGGCTTACCGGTCAGAAACCTTAACCGTTAGAGTTCAAATTAAAAAAACAGATAGGAATGAATTTTTTCACACAAAAATGTAATTTTATTAAAATTAGGAACTTTTTAATATCTATAAAAACGGTTTAGCATCATAATCAAACATTAAGAAGTCATATTTGTAAATTTCATACAATTTTAAAATATCATTTTTGTCCAGGAGTTTAAAGTAGCTCATCGTAATATCCATCTTTTTGAGACCATTATCATTTCTGAAATAATCAACATTACTGAAAAAAGTAATGCGGAGTTAAAACACATCTTCTTTTATATATCTACATATATACTTTGCTCGTCTTGGTGTCTGTTTGGGTGTCTGTTTGGGTGTCTGTTTGTTTGTCCGTTTGTATCCGTTTGACCCCAAGGACTGGTTTTAAAAATTGGAAAAAATTTCCTGGAAAATAATTGGAATTATTTGTTGAAAATGCGCCAATTCGAAAAAAGTTCGTCCAAAATTTAAAAATTATTTTAAATGGCCGACTTTCAAAGCAACAATTAAAAGCTAAAATTATTAACAGGAATTTTTTAAAGCCTTAAGTTACAAAAAAGGAAATTATACATGTTTGCCATTATTTAACTTTTCAAAATGTTGACTTTAGTTGCCACAAACTTAAATTTTCTACTTCCTTTATCTGCATAACCTGATGATATAAACTTAAAGCTTTGATATTTCAAACCTATTTTATGTAATTTAACCAAATTCATGGTTTGAAATATCTTTAAGGTCTACGACATTGGGTTTCAAAGATAAAGGGATTAGAAAATCAGAGTTTGTGGCAAAGATTCAATTCCAATTAAATGTTTAGATTTTACTAAAATAGAAAAAATAAAAAGCGTGTAATTATACTGGGTGTTCCATTGAACATGAGAGTTGTACGCAAAAATCGTTTTGATTTATCTTTAATATATATTGAAGGAAAAATAAGTGCATTAAAAAGATGCAGGACTCATAATGTTACCATGATTGTCAAGGTTTTAAAGTCGTTCCACCTATTTTATACGAAGAAAATTAGTCTCTGTCACAAACTCTAATTTTCTAATTCCTATTTCTTTGCAATCCCCATGTCGCAGACCTTAGATATTTTTAACTATGAATTCTGTTAGATCAAATAATCTAAGCTTCAAATATAAATGGCTTAAACCCTCATGTTGCAAGAATATAGGTATTAGAAAATTTGAGTTTGTGGCAAAAACTCATTTTCTTTTGTTTAAGATAGCTATCAGTGATCAAATGGGATATTTCAGTCTTCTTTTCTAGAACTGTCGCCGTAGTGTTCACTGGCCCTCCGTTGAACAAGGACCACGCGCAGCCACGACCAATTCATATCTTGGTACCTTTGAAATCTTAATCCAATCAGTAATGTATAAAAACCGTCTGGTTCTGACTTGAAACATTTTTAATTCAGACAATTTCTCCATTGTTTCTTACGCAAGAAACACTGAAAATAAACAGTTTTTGAAAAAACATAACAGAGATATTTAAATCATACTTGACAAAGAAAAAGGTTACCAGGGTACTGTTGTGAATCAGACATGTCTCTTTATCAATGGAGGGTCAATATGTCACTTTGATAACTAAACAAGCTTTAATATTCTCTATTATTACCTATTCTCCCAATTATTTTGTATTTTTGTTGTATTCCACATTCTGCTCAGTATTCTTTCTTCTTCTTCTATACTCTCAAACTTAAAAATTACAACTGATTACTTGCCTCAACCTTTTTATAGTCCTTATATCATTGAACCTGATGTTTAGAACTTTCATATTTCAAACTATGAATCCGTAAGGGTGTAAATATATGGGGATTAGAAAATTTTAGTTTGAATAAAGCGATAATTTTTTTATTTTGATATGGTCTTTCATTCATTCCCAGAAATAAAGATCTAGCTAGTTTACAAATCTAGCTTATAGCAGCAAAATTAAAAATATTAATATAAAACTGAAGTTTGAAATCTTTTTGGCTGTCTGTCCGTTTGTTTCCAAAAACCGATGGGCCCAATTATTTATGGCAACTCATCAGGGAAGTTTTATGGACTTTGCCTCAACTCAACCTCTAAGTTACTGCATATTCAAATTATCAAAGTTTACGATAGTTTCGTCATTAAAATATATAAAATTCAAGAACTTTTGAACATATCAATAATTCTAAGAAAAACTAGATTATTTACAAAAGTCACAAAACCCAACCTAGAAAATCTGCGAAACAGTTTACACTATATATTTCAATAAAAAATGTTAAAAATGGATGATTTGATAAATCGTTCCTCTCCGATAAACTTGATCTTGCAAAAGTTTAAAAAGCAGAATGTTTTATCAATCACTGTCGTTGTTGTTCAGGTAAATCAAATGCACTCAAATTTAACTCATTTAGTAAGATTTATTGATGACAAACCCTGCGGAAAACGAAAATAATCCAAATTTTTCTTTTTAGACTATTATCATTCTACTGCTGGTGGGAATGTGCATTGTTTTTTCCCCAAAAGAAGAAAATGAAGGTAAAAATTTTCCAACTGCAGTTAGTTTACTGAACATTTTTAACACACAGAAGGCATTTTTCTCTAAAAATATGCCTAACATATTTTATTTTGCTTAGTGGGTTTTCTACTTTCTACTTTCTACTTTGAACTGGAAATGACTAAATTTGACGGACTACCCCTGGATCTGGAAGGATTAGAAGGAGGTGGTGCTGATTGTTTTGCTGCTGTTATTCCGGATGAATGATGTTGTAATACGAAACATTCGGAGCATGTCTTTTCTTAACAAGGACATAAAAGGGAACTGAGCCTTCTATGAAAAAACTTTTAATTTATTCATTTTGTTTCCAAATGTCTGAAATAAACAATTTATCCTAACTTTTCGTCCTTTTTCTATTTACTGTTTATGCACTGTTTGTTCTAGTTCTATTTCTAGTTCTAGTTCTAGTTCTTGTTTTAGTTCTAGTTCTAGTTCTAGTTCTAGTTCTATTTCTAGTTCTAGTTTTAGTTCTAGTTCTAGTTCTAGTGTTAGTTCTGGATCGTCAAAATCGAACAAAATTGTCCGGAAAAAAATGTCGACAATCATTATTCTTGAAAATCTGTCAACCTAAATAGAATAAACCGACTAAATTTGAGAATGATTAATAAACGTGGCCACTTTAAGAGCAAGAGTTAACAGCAAAATTGTTATTAGAAAAGGAGGCGCGGGGAAGTGTCCAAAAGCCTAGTATAAAAACTTACTTTTAAATTTATTTAATTTCTTAAACAAATGAACAAAAGAACTTTTCTCATTTCCATATACAATCCCTTTAAACAACTGATTACCTTTAAAATGTAGTTATATGAATGAGTGCAGGGCGAACAGTACAAATACATTGGTTTCCAGTGCTCATCGAATTTATGAACCTTAAAAATATATTTTATTTATTTTATTAAAAATACTATTTTAGTAAATCTCCAAAATTTTAATATACATAAAGTTATAAACCATTAAGACGCATATTTATCACCTTGAAAATTTGTTTCATTCATAAAATTATTCATAAATTATAAATTTTAATTTAGCTTATAAAGAGCACAAACTTGGTTATGGAAACCTTTGGTAAAGTAAAATTCCATTAACTTCCCTGTAAAGTATAGTTGTAAATACTAGATATTTAAATTTTTTTACATTTTTGTGAATAATCCATTGAACAAACTCCCAGAAGGTTGGAAGTTCAACTATTCTGTGTAGAACAGGGTACGGAGATCCATAATTATTCCTAAAACAAAGTTAATAAAGAAGTCATGATTTTTTATCTCTTTGTCTTTGCATCCTAATCTCGTAAGCCTTAATATTTCAAACTACAAATACTGTTTTATTAATTGGTTGAAGATTGAAATATTAAAAGTTTTACCATTAGTTTGCAAAGATTTAGAAAGTAAACACTAGAACGCTTAAACTTTCTCAGTTATTGAACTTCATATTTGTGAACAAATTTTGCATTTTTTCTCATGCATAGGGTAGGGTGGAGGACGATCAAACGGCCCGGCTGGTCGGTTTAAAAAAATCAAAAACATTAAATATTTTTTTATTAATTAACCCTATTCCTGCTGGGGGGGGGGGGTGGTCAATTTGACCAACTTAATTTAATACTAACTGCCATGAGTCCTCAGGCACACTGCCTGTAACAAACTAAATCTTTGTTTTGACCCACTTCCACTTGTCAGATTTTGATAAAATTTGGCTTTTTGGAAAGCCTTTGACACAAGGAAACGAATTGCACAAGTTTTGCGAAAAAAATTGAACATTTTTTGCAAACAACCTGTCCAAGGAAAGGATTTGAGCCACAATCTCAAATTTTCTAATCCCTATATCTTTCGAACCAATGTCGTAAACCTTTGATATTTCAAACTTATATTATGTGATCTAAAAGAAGTCATAGTTTGAAATATCAAAGGTCTACAACGTTGGAATCCAAAGAATTAGGAGATTAGAAAATCAGAGTTCGTGGCAAAGACTCAATTCCTTTGCACATTTTCAGTTTTTCTTGATTAAAAACCAGGTTATTTGAAATTTTGCAAAATGTTTTGCATATTTGAATTGCCATGGTCAAGGGCATTTTAAAAATGTATAATTTGATAAAAAATTTAATTTTTTCAAATTTGCAATTTTTTGGCAGATTCTAAAAGTGAACACAAGAGCTTTCCAATGATGTATCATTTGTCATATTTGGACATCAAACATGGGATTTATAGGGGGGGTCAAATTGACCCCCCCCCCAGCATATCCTGGTTTTCAAGTACCCAGCAGAGATAGGGTTAAGCTACGATTTAAATTATTTTAAAAAGCTCTTATAAACATGTGTCACATGTAAATATTTTTCAAAAGTAAAAAACAACTAATTTTCAACATTTTTCTGATGTACTTTTTAAACTTTTCTTAAGGCCTCCCTTGCACCCTACCATATAATGCGCTGCTCTAGGGACATGTATCACACTCCCTTATCTCAACTAATAATAATTTAACAAAAATAGCCCAATCGGAATAGGTTTAACATTGTAATTCTTTAATAAAAAATTTTAATTTACCTTTTACTGTAATAGGTTTCTCCGTGTCGCTGAATAGATTTTTGTCTGTACATTCTAAGCAAAGATAAAAATTCAAGATTTGAATTTGACAAATATTATTGCAATAATTGCATCAAGGTAAATATGTATTATGCAAACATGTGTTGTATTCATTGATTTTTTACACTGTATTATTTGTATTAATTGTATTATTTATATTGCTGTATTTTTATAGTAATTTATTATTTGTATTATTGTATTATTGTACAATAGTATTAACGTATTATTTTAGTATTTGTATTTATGTATTATTTTCAACACTTTATTATTTGTATCATTTTATTATTTTTAGTATTGTATTATTGTATTATTCTATAATTTATATTTAGGAGTTATTTTCATAAATTTATTATTTGTATTATTGTATTATTTGTATATGTATCATTTTTATTGATTATATTATTTGCATTTTTGTATTTTTTGTTTTAATATATTATTTGTATCAATGTATTATTAATATTAACGTATTATTTGTATCTATAGTTTAACATTTGTAGAACCAACCTCACTATTTCTTTCCCATACTTCTTATAGTACCTGAACGTAAACATTTAAGAAAAATTATAAAAGTGCTTTTTAAAAGAAAACACAAACCCAATTTGAGCTAACAACTTTACAATTGTGGATATCGAGATCAATGCTTTATCTTCTCTTTTTCTTCATCTTTACATTATTTAAATATTTAATTTGCATCCAGGAAAGTTTCTAAAATTCAACCAATTAGAGTGGTGAATGCAGAATCCCGTACAGCCAATCAGAAGCCAAGAAATTTGAAATTTTTCGCGTCATTTAATTAGACAGCTCTCATTGTTCGGAATCTAGTAGAGACATCCAATTAGAGGGAAAAGGAGCGGATTAAGAAGAAATTAAAAGTGTCCACAGTGGATATCCAGATTAAGCGATCAGTTTTAAGAGTATCCAATTCTAAAGTTTTCAGCTCTGGTCATACAATTGAATGCATGTCAAAAAATATATTTATTTACCTAATTTTGCTAAAAATGTCTTACCATTCTTTTGTAAGTATGCACTGAACAATTGTTAAAATATTGACTCAATAAAATGCAATTTTCTGGCAAAGTAAATATTTTGTGTTATATATGAATTAATGGCTGGTAAATAGAGTTATCCACTTTAAAGACGACTTTCGTTTAAGCATGGTTTACTGCAACTGTAAACTTGTGTCTTTTCTTTGCAAACGTTATTCAAGGCTGTTGGTTTTTGTTTGTATGATTTTTCTGGGAACTTTCACTGTCCTTTCGGACCAAACTCAAACATTTTCGAACACAATGTTCAATATCATGAACAGTTAATGTTAGATATTTCTCACAAATTTGTATTATCTTACAGTGAAACCCTTAATAACGAATACATCGAAAGAATTCATCAAATGTCATATTATTCATTTTCTGATAATGAAATGTTGTAGATATTTTGTTTTTTAATTAAATGATTATATGGAACTCTTTAAAACTGTTCCCGCATATTCATGGCTATTTATTTATTTTCGCAAATACTGAAATTTACGTAATATAGCATAAAACTCATTGAAAATTTGTCAAGACGACATTTGATAAATTCTTCCAATGTATTCGTTATTAAGGGTTTCACTGTATAAGACATGTCAGATATTACAAAATATTGGATTATCTTTTTAACATGAAATTAAAAATAATGGTTTATTTCTCTATTTTATTTTTAAAGTTATATTTTAAATTCCCTTGGGGTTGATACATCTCTCTAATTTATCTCTAAATGCAGAAACCAACCTAAGCAAAACTAAATCAATTCATTTTTTAAAAACCTGTTAGAAATTGATTAAGATAAAAAACTAGAATTTGATCAGTAAGAAAACAAAATAAAAATGAAATTCGAAATAACTCCCATCACACCTTTAAAATTTTTTTTTACTATCACGACCAAACAAAAATCAGATTTTACAGTTTTACATAAAATCATTATAAAATGGTTGTAACTTTTTTATCTGTTGTAAGTGAAAAATAATATTCACCTGTCAAAGGGATGCCTTGTAATCAGCAGTTTTTTCATTAAAGGTTTGTTAAGATGATTCACAGTTTCTTTAAAGTGTCGACGCTTATCAGAGTTTAGAATTAATATCAACCAGTCAACCCATTTTAGAATCAAGCTGCTAATGGCAATTGCCCTGTAATTGTCACTAATAGCAATGTCATCTAAGTTGTCCTTCACTATGGGCAGTAATGTGCACAGTAGTAAAAAAGTAGGAATTTTGCCTGTAGCCAAAAACATTTAAATTGTGGTCACTTTAAGTGATTTAAGGGAGAGTATACCCGATTCACAGAGTATTCTTTAAAAAAATTTCTCATTTAAAATGTAGAAGCATCGTCGTTTTTCCCCTTGTTTCTGCAGCTAGCAGAAATGCGCATGTTATTTTGGAAGAGAAACCGCAATTGAAAACATAAAACTTTTAAGAAGACAATCATAGATATATCATTCATTCTTGGTTAAGCTAAACTTTGAAGGGTACCATTGTGAATTGAACATTCAAATATATAGACAGAGAGTAACTTGAAATAACGTCTACACAGTCCCTTTAAGTGAAAGAACTGGGGCAACAATTCGTCCTTGCTCATTCGGTTGACTAAACAAAATAATTTACTGTGGTCGGCGATTTTATCAATAAAACGAAGAAGACTTTCTATTTTAATTTTTATATATATTAAGCTGTTGAACAGCATGCATGTACGCCCATAAAAATAGAAGTTAAGAGAAGCTGTCAATTAAAAAAGCTTCTCTTCCTAACTTGGAATTCGAAAAAAGATTGTTAACAATAAAAAGTCGTCTTTATTGTACTGCTGTAAACGCCTACCACTGTACATAAATCGTAGTTAAGAGAAGTGGTGATTGCCATAAACGTAACTTCTATCGTTTGAAAATGTTTGGAAATATGTATTATTAACATATCTAGGAAATATGAATTATTAACATACCTAGGAAACATGTATTATTGAAAATATCTAGGAAATATGTATTATTAACATATCTAGGAAATATGTATTATTAACATATCTAGGAAAAACTGAAACAGAATTTTCAGATAATTGAATAAAAAAATAATTGGAGAGTAATAAGATATTTTATTCTGAATTTAACTGACATGTTAACTCTTAATTCTGTCAGAGACAATTTGTTTCTTGTTTCGCACAAGAAAAAGTAATCTTAAATAAGTTGTGAAGAGAAAGAATAGCTAAAAGCGCAGTAGAATTAATGAATTAATAAATGCAATTTTGTGATCGAAAGGGACCATGGTTGGCGTATTTGTAGAGTCCGATTAACAACGGAACCCTTTAATCCTTTCTGGGAAAATAGTTTAATTCTTACAATTTTCTTCGTATTTTCCCGCTGCCTAAACGCCCAAACCGCGTCTCTTGTGAATAGAAGTCAATTGCTACACCTCATTTTTACTCATAAAAGGGTTCACAGGACACCGTTGATGAATCGGACGTGATACTCTTTTAAGGACGGGTCCCTACATATTACGTCTACTCCCTTTTGTGTGATTTTGACGTTCGAGTTCAACATGGAGATTTCAGAAGTGATGCACAAAGATTTAAGAAACATAAAGGTAAGAAGAATTGTGTTCTTTTAAAATCTAAACACTGATATGTAGTCTTTTCCTCCATAGGTTTAAAACCTTCCTTTCAAGGATTAAATCCGTCCTTCATAGGGTTAAAACCTTCCTTTCAAGGTTAAACCCGTCCTTCATAGTTTAAAACCTTCCTTTCAAGGGTTAAACCCGTCCTTCATAGGTTTAAAACCTTCCTTTCAAGGATTAAATCTGTCCTTCATAGGGTTAAAACCTTCCTTTCAAGGTTAAACCCGTCCTTCATAGTTTAAAAGCTTCCTTTCAAGGGTTAAACCCGTCCTTCATAGGTTTAAAACCTTCCTTTCAAGGATTAAATTCGTCCTTCATAGGTTAGAACCTTTCTTTCAAGAGTTAAACCCGTCCTTCATAGTTTAAAACCTTCCTTTCAAGGGTTAAACCCGTCCTTCATAGTTTAAAACCTTGCTTTCAAGGATTAAAACCGGCCTTCATAGTTTAAAACCTTCCTTTCAAGGATTAAATCCGTCTTCATAGTTTAAAACCTTTCTTTCAAGGGTTAAAACCGGCCTTCATAGTTTAAAACCTTCCTTTCAAGGGTTAAATCCGTCCTTTATAGGCTTAAAATCTTCCTTTCAAGGGTTAAACCCGTCCTTTATAGTTTAAAACCTTGTTTTTAAGGATTAAACCCGCCCTTCATAGTCTAAAACCGTCCTTTCAGGGGTTAAACCCGTCCTCCATAGGTATAAAACATTCCTTTATAGGCTTAAAACCTTCCTTTCAAGGGGATTCAACCCGTCTTTCATAGGAATTTAACCTTCCTTTCAAGGGGATTCAACCCGTCTTTCATAGTCTAAAAGTTAAAACGCTTAATCCTACCAAGGTTTAAATCCATTCTATTATAAGGTTTAAACCTTCTTCCTACAATTTTAAACCTTTCTCCCAAGATTTGAAACATGTCTTTTAAGGTTTAAAACACTTAATCCTGACAAGGTTTAAATCCATTCTATTAAGGTTTAAACCTTCATCCTACAATTTAAACCTGTCTCCAAAGACTTGAAACATTCTTGGTACCAACGTACGTACGGTGAAATCATGAAATATCTTCATACTTCATCGTAATCTTTATTCTAAGACTTCTTAACTTTTATCGAGCACTTAAATAAAAAAATCGTCCCTGGTAAAGTTTGAGTCTAATTTAATATCAGGTGTTTAAGATGTTTTTTTTATTTAAACAAACCAATTGACAAGTACGCCATAAAGATTACCTTGGATGTTTTTTCTTTAGCAGCTCAAGTTCTATCTCTGATCTTCCTAATATTTACATCTTTAGATAGATTTTTAGAGTAAGTTTGTGTGACCATACATTTAAAGAGGGCCATCACGTGTCAGTCACAGCTATATCCTTTAAACCTTTATTTTATAAAAAAAAACATTTTCCAGCTTAAAAAAGATTCTCCATGCTTCCGAAGCAGAAATTCGCAATGCACTTTTATATGAAAACCACAGTAGAAAATAATTAATTTTTTAAGTCAAAATTATTTGAACATACAAAGCTTTTTTAGGTGTACCATTGCGAATCGAACATAATAATATGCATCTACATTAAGTATAAAGTATCGTTAACAAAATTAGGTTACTTATAAATATGTTAAAAAATATTGAAAGGTGTTTAAATTTTCCTTGCTTTAATTTAGAAAAAATTATCACAATTCATAAAAGTAAAAATTAATGAAACCTACCACATACAAATTGCAAAATACAATACAAAGTGACATCTTTAAGTAAAATAGGAAAGAAGACGACAATTATTTTTATACTGTTTTCTGATTTTAATTCAATTGTTCAATTTATAAAATACAAAGACTTAGCAAGGTCTTTGATAAAATGGTAATACCTGACAATCTTATGAGATTATAAAGCCAATTAGTAGAGGCGGCCTTGAATACTGGACACCAAACTAGATGCTTATCCTTGAAATATTATTATTATTATTATTATTATTATTATTATTATTAATATTATTATTATTATTATTATTATTATTATTATTATTAAGATATTAAAGAGAAGGTTATTTTATTTCCACGTGTTTGTCTATCCATGCTGTTTAGAAGCATAATAAAATCAAAATTTAAATCTAAAGTCGTCTTCATTATATTGCTTATTATCATTAATTAGTAGAAATAGCTTTAAATACTGGACACCAATCTAGTAAACCTTTGATATTTCAAACTTAGATTATTTGATCTAACATAATTCATATTTTGAAATGTTTTAGGTCTACGACGTTGTGTGCAAATACTAATTTTATCGACAATTAAATTTCCGGAAAAAATCTAATTAATTTTCACCTTTAATATGTAATAATGCCTGTGATCAAAATGCTGTTCTACCTTAAAATTAAGACAAAGTTACTTCATAAAAATAAAATTGCTCTATTAAAATCAACCCATTCAACTTAATCAAATTTTAAAACAAAGTTAAAGGGAGTGACTGGTAATGTATGATGGTTAAACTGAATATGCAGTATTGTGGACACATTTTGCAGGATTCATTTGAGAAATATAAAACGTTTCTACGACGTATATTTACTGAGTTTGATCGCAAAGTCGACTTTCAAAATCATCTATTTGGATGGATACGTTGCGAGAATCATTTTTTTATACATTATTAAATAACGACGACTAAAATGTAGAAAAATTTAACAGTAAACTAATTAATGAAAATTCTATATAAAACTAATTAATGAAACCAGGGCTATAACAAAAGTAACTCACACTTGCTTCAAATTCTATTTTACCGATCTTTGCAACTTGATGGTGTAAATCTTTGCAACTTGATGGTGTAAATCTTTGCAACTTGATGGTGTAAATATTTGCAACTTGATGGTGTAAATATTTGATATTTTTAAAGGTTAGACTTCATGAATAATAAAAAACCTTTGATTTTGAAAAAAAAAATTATTTGAAAAAAAATTATTTTAACATAAAATGGTTTTAACTTTTCTCTCCTTGCTGTTGTTGCAAATAGTCTGCGTAAGTTCAGTTCTCATTTCAAACAATCTAAAATTATATTCTGTAGAAGTTTGCTTTTATCAAACGTTCTATTTGATATCCTAGGTGAAAATATGAGACAAAAAAACCCCAAAAACATTCATTTTGATATCCTAGGTGAAAATATGAGACAAAAAAAAGGCAAAAACGATCGTTTTTGCCTTAAATTTTCTTCTAGTGTAACAAATTTGCGTGTTTGATGTTAGCAAACTTCTACAAAATAAGATTTTAAAATATTGGAACCTTCTCATATTGTCGTAAAATCATCTCATATTGTCGTAAAATCTTCTCATATTGTCGTAAAATCTTTTAAAAATCTAAAAACATTAAAATATTCTGTAAAACGAATCTAGCTATTCCCCATCCCTCAGTCTAAAAAAGCATTTTTGATTTAATGAAATTAAAAACTATTTTGCGAAAAAAATTGTGTCAATATCAAGAAAATGGCTGAACATGGTTCATGATAGCAAGTAAATAATTAATTTTACCAGTCCACCGTAAATTTTTCAATTTTATTAAATTTTACTCAGATCAGACATATTTACAAAACAATCATTTGCAGCGGAAAATAAAGGAATTCTGATTTTCTAGTCCCTATATCTTTGCAACCATAAGCCGTATACCTTAGACATTTAAAACTATAAATTCTTCTTTAGATCAAATAATCTATGCTTGAAATATTAAAGCTTTACACCTTTAGGTTGCAAAGTTTTGAATGGGATTAGATGTTGTGAACTTGTGGCAAAGACTCAAATCTTTTCTTCCGAGAACTGCGTTCAGATCATTTTTACATTTTTACATTTTTACATTTTTACATTTTTACATTTTTACATTTTTACATTTTAATTATTAAATTACCTGGAATTGTATGCCGTTAAGTCAGAACTTTCCAAATCTTGGATCAGATTTTATGAAAAACGAGAAGTAGTTGAACCAGTTAGATCAACTTGTGTGTTCGGATCAACTTGGTAAAATAAACTCTACCCTGGAATAACTACTAACCGTGCAGCAGAGCTTTAGATTTATATTGTTTCATTTAATCGCGTTTTGGTCTATTCTTCAGCAATCTTTAAGTTTATAGATTTGTCTTTCTACACTTTTTTATTTAAAACTCATCCAACGACAAAAGAAGGGAAAACTGTATGCTTTATTGGTCAAAATGGGATTGAAAGTCAAAGCTTGCTGGGACAATTGTCCGAACTGTTAAATAACCGTGACAAAAGAATCAGATCAACTCCGTCTAAGCAGTTCAACTATTTCTCATTATTTAATAAGTCTGGTTCCTGTAAACATTGAAACTTCAACTGTGCTAGGGCTCTCTTTGATTTGACTGTTTATAATTCTGTTCTGATAAGTTTGTTCTTGTATAACCACAATGATTAAAGAAGCCAAACACATAGTACAAAATATTCGAAAAAGTCTGTATAAGTATACATAACTACAGGGAGATATCAACGACATTTTTTAATTTAGAAATAATCTAAAATCTAAAAAAAAAATGTTCAAACATAATAAGTAGATATTATTGAGAAAAAAAAGAATTCTGTCTTAAATTCAATTTCCAAAATGATTTATTTTAATTTAAAATGACTTTCCGTTTATAAAGTGGTAGCCAATCACAACGGTACCCATGAAAACTTTGTCAGACCAAGAATGTTTGATATATTTATAGATTACTCTTTGAAAATTGAACATTTAAACATAGCTTGCTGATTTCTGTTTTATAAAGCTTCACAGCTTGCTGTATTTATCTAAAAGCTAATAAATTGGGTTTCAAAGATAAAGAGTTTAGAAGTCAGAGTTTATGGCTAAGAATCAATTCCTTTATAGAGATAGAACTTTATATTACACAATCTCGAAAAAAGTTTCCCAAATAAAAAAGATGTATTCCAGTGTTAGCTGATGACTACTGCACCAGTGTATGATTTTAAAGTTGTAATGTTATATCCGTATTCCTGCATAGAAAGGATAACTAACTGAATAATATATTGATACACTGTATAAGTCTGTACTATTCAATTGAAAAATCACATTGATTTATTTTATCACAAGTGGAAGTTTACTTTTTCCAAGGTGTACTAGGGGGG